CTACCCATCACGCAAAGGAGGGTTCCTGAATTATATGTACATATATATCTGATTGTTGTCGATGAAAATCATACACGAACCCTTCCAAGTATTCGGGAACATTCGAATTGTTCCCGCTTGGAGGTGCGAATGTTTCATTGAAGGATGCGCAGAAGGCACTCTGCTCTTACAACCGGATTTCAGTTCCACACCTTTTAACCGACTCGGCGCCACTCCAGGCGCCGTTCTACACCGCATAGCAAACACAACTTCGAGGACAACTGGTTTTAAGTTTCGAATCGAACAGGACGATGCAAATAGTTCAGCTAGTGCAATAGAATCGGAAGGGCCGCACAGTGCCCTTCGTTCACGTATAGCCTTCGCATAAGAGCACATCCACGTGGAAACGACAGATCGACACCCTGCTTTTCGAACAATCGGATAAAAAAAAGTATAAAAAATAACGGGAACGAGAAATTCGATGGAATTAGCGTGGAAATCCCTTCGGATCAAAAGAAAGGAAGCATCGGAAATAGAAGGATGAAAATATAGTGCAATTAATAGAATTAACGAGGTAGAAGTCCTCCAGCGCGATCACGTATCGTCCATAAATAAAAAAAACAATAGAAGAAGCGAGGCCTAGAACGGAAGAACTTTTGCGAGAAACATCAAGCCCTCTGCCTCTGTTTTTTAAGCACGCGTGCCACGTGGCGTCCATCGACAAGAAACACGCGTTACGAAACGGTTCGTTCTTCTCGATCGACGTCTCCGGACCATACAATTGTTGTGTTTACGTTTTTCCTAGCGGGTAATTTTCGAGCGGCCATGCGATCGTCGCGGGTATTTTTCGATTTTCGAAATTCTTTTCAGAGGTCGGTTGAATGCACCGCGATCGATTGCACGTCCGCCACCATTATTTGTATTATACATTCATCAGTATATTCGTTGCCTCTTTGATGATCAAACAATGTGTTTTTTCTTATCGACAGCTTTACATGCTGGTCACTTTTTACAGGCGGCCATCGTACACGTCCCGTTTACGTTCCTCGACGAGAGACGAGCCTCCGTTATATAGGTGATAAAATAGTTATGTTCTTACTGTTTACTTCGATTGATTAGTTCGATTGTTGACTCGTTGAACCGATACGATCGGGAAACGAGGCTCGATCGCGATCGTCGATTCGCGAACATTCTCTCGTGGGAACCAGGGATATTGGACGCGACGATGGTACGTCGAACACCGTTTTAGAAAAATCCGTTTACAGTGTTAACTTTACACGGAGATATCCAGCCGGATATGTTATGTATAGATTATGCCGTTATCAGAGGGTGATATGCAGTGGCGTAACTGGGATTTTGGTCCGGGGGGATCGAGTATCCTAGAATTAATAATACATTCACTAGAAATGGTCGAATAGCTTTTGGAAATTTAAAAATTTAAGAACCTCGGTGTTTGGAATACTTGAAATTTGCGAAAATGAAAATTTGATATTCAGTGTTTGATGCTTGAAATTTGACGAATTGAAACTTTAGTAATTTCATAATTAGTGAATTCAGAGTGAAAGAAGGCGAAAATTGTCCATCTTTACATTTGATAATATCAGAATTAAAAAATGTATAAATTCGAAATTTTAGAGTTTGATATCAAATTTAGAAAACTTAAAAATTCGAAATTTCAAAATTTGATGATTTCTGAGCTGGAGAATTTGGAAATATCGAAAATTTCAGAACTTGATAATTTGTAAATTTAGGATCTTGACAAATTTTAATTGAAAATTTCAGAATTAAAAAACTCGGAAATTATAGAATTTGAACTTTTGAGAATTTAGAAATGTTAGAGTTGAAGAGTTTTGGAAATTTGATAATTTCAGGATTGGGAAACTTCTCTGTGAAAACATTTGAACATTCCAGAATTAAAATATTAAGAAATTTAAGTATTTAGGGGTTGGGGTTTCGAATTGTAAGTGTTTGGAAATTTGTGGGTTTGCAAATTTTTTAATTTGGAAATTAGGTTCGTAAATTAAAACATTTCAGAAATAAAAAATTTGTAAGTTTAGAGATTTGTAAATTTAAAAATTTCCGAAATAGATTCGGTAATTTTGTTCTGAATTTGAAAATTTCAAGCTTTAGAAATTTAAGAACTCTAGAATTTGGAAATTTGACAATTTTGGAATTAATGAATTTAGGAATTCTGAAATTTTCCCATTGTAAAACTTGTAAATTTTAGGGTCTAGAAACACGGAAAATTGGGGATTGAAAATGTAAAATTTTGGGTGTTCAGGAATTTGAAAATTTGGAACGTCTACAATTTGAAAATTTCCCCAATGTTTGAATTTAATTTAAGGAATTCAGAAAGTCTGATACATTTGAAATATAAAATTTGTTAATTTCATAAGCTGAAAACAGAATTTTGAACGCTTGGAAATTTACGAGTTGAGTATTCAATAATTTCATAATTTGAAAAATTCAAAATATGTAACTTTAACAATTTCCAAATTTCGAATACCAGATAAAATATTCTACATCGTGCATCCCCAACGTTACATAAAAAAAATTTAGTGAGGATTAGATCCACCCTGGACCAAATGTAGTAACGCCAATAATAATACGAACAGTTTGGTAAAAAATGAAGCAAATGTGAAGGGACCTCTAGGAGCCGCGCTATAAATTACTCTTGGAACCGTCTTGCGAACGCATCGATCGTTCACGCGATTCGCGATTTCGTTCGTTCGAGGTGTGGCTCATTCGATTCGTGATCGATTGAGTCACGTTAACGATACTTGATCACGGTGAATTCTTCTGTGGACGTAAAACGCGGTTGCATCGCAAACGCGTTCTGTGTCGTGATTACAACGGTAACGTAAACTCGATTTTAGACCGATCGAAGGGTTCCTGTCGGTTCTATGTGCTTCCGCACTAATGAGCAATGTTTCCCTCTCCGACGAAATTCTACCGAGTTTAGAGAAAGATAGAGAACACACTACACACTTGTACAAACATACAAACACACACATACGCACACACACGCGCGAGTACACACGTACTCGGGATTACACGCAGACTCTTCTCGTTATGATTCCCGTGCTGCGAGTCCATGTTAGAATGGCCTATCCCAGCTATTCGTCGAAGACCACGTCGGACGACCATCTCTGTTTACCAATTAAACAGATTCGATTAAACCAGACTTTTGTTCCACGATTATCCAGACCGAGGATCGATCAGGTAGACAATTTCTTTCGACCACTGCTGATCGTCGTTGATACTCCGACTGATCGCTTTCACATTTCGAAATCAACGGGTTTTCCTTTCAACCGCGAACCGTCATTAAGCACATGATTTTCCGATCTTCCGATCACTGATTTCAGTCTGTCGATCCTCGGCGAACAGAGATTCCGGGGTTTTCACGAAACGACAATAGCAACGTTCGTTCGGCGACCGGCTTTTCTTTCCGAAAGACGAATTTCGACGACGCGTCGTCTTCGGACGGATAGCGGATAAGGGCCGTACAACATGTGACTTGAAGCACAAATGACCCCAGAGAGAGTTGAGTTTGGCCTTGGGCAAAGTCAGGCGAGCGTCGGGCCGGCTCTCAATTTTGAAATAGCCATTTCGACTAAAAGCGAAAAAAATGAACAGACCCCCAAAACCCGACGCAATAGAGGAAGGCAACCGGATCAAAATAACCGCCACATGAATCAACAGTTTCTCGCGCGGGGCCCGGCCGCGGCAGCCGCCAGATATTTCCGCTTTAGACAAATGAAAATTAAGATTACCCTTGATACCCTGATCCTACGCCCAAAACTCCTTGTCCAGCGTTCCTTGAAATCTCGTGTAACGACCTCCACGAGCCTCGAGAAACCCCCAAAGGATATCCAGATAATTTTATTAGGTGCGGTAGCCCGTTAGTTTAGAGAAGGGGTGAGGTGCATAAGGCCACCCTTCGAGCGGGCCGCAAAAAATAATAAGCCAGGTTTGCCGCGGTCACGTGAGCGCGTGGAAGCGGGTCCCGCGCCCAATCTCACTCACAGCACACACTGGGCCGACTCGTCCGATAGAATGTGCCTTCAGTGTTGATTTTATACGAAAAAAATACTAAAATTATACAAAGGGGCCCGACATAGACCGAACGCCCACCCAAAGCCTGACTGGTGCTCGCCCGCTGCCCGTTTTTTCATCCTAACACCGGTCTTAAGCATACATTTAACAGGAACATCTACACCTACACCTACCATTAACGTGGGTCTCCCACGGAGATGTCGATCAGACCTGCAACTTTCATGGATTTAGGATCTCCTCTTACGAATTGGTGGATCGCGTTCATTTTGCCCGGAAGGGACTATTGCTTTCGCAACTCGTGCTCAAAAAGGATTACCGTTCGAGTTAAGGATTAACTGCCCGAGACACGCGATCCCCGGCCCCTCAAAGACTAAGAACACTACGAGGGTGTTCCTTTTTCGATTTCTTGTTTTTCTCCGCGCTTCACATGATCTAAGATCGACACTCGCATCTGGGACCACGTTCAAAAATATTGATATTCCTCTAGAGTTAGATTTATCGTTTCACGTTGTCCAGCGTGAACGTGAACTTCACGGGCCGTGACGGTGTCACTTGTCATGATAAAAGGTATCATCAAGACCAAGCGAACAAATTCTAACGCCATAATGGATACAGGTCTGAAACGCGTCTTCGAGGGACACCGAGTCCACGCTTCGAAAGAAGGAACCACCCCTGTGGCACGAGTACGCGGAATCACACACACACATTGACACTATTTGCGCACAGGGAGTGATCACACACAGACACGCACGAACACACACGCTCGCAAATATATCCAACTACACCCCAGCAAAAAAGAAGATGTTTTGGTTGATGCAAGGAGTTCGGAACGCTGCTATGCACCGATAACACACGTATATTGATTAAATGCAATTACTATGCGATAAGTATACTTACATAATATATATGTGTACTATGGTCTCTCCCACTTCCCAATCAGAATAACCCCGAACTGTGCATAAGGCCACCCTTCGAGCGGGCCGCAAAAAATAATAAGCCAGGTTTGCCGCGGTCACGTGAGCGCGTGGAAGCGGGTCCCGCGCCCAATCTCACTCACAGCACACACTGGGCCGACTCGTCCGATAGAATGTGCCTTCAGTGTTGATTTTATACGAAAAAAATACTAAAATTATACAAAGGGGCCCGACATAGACCGAACGCCCACCCAAAGCCTGACTGGTGCTCGCCCGCTGCCCGTTTTTTCATCCTAACACCGGTCTTAAGCATACATTTAACAGGAACATCTACACCTACACCTACCATTAACGTGGGTCTCCCACGGAGATGTCGATCAGACCTGCAACTTTCATGGATTTAGGATCTCCTCTTACGAATTGGTGGATCGCGTTCATTTTGCCCGGAAGGGACTATTGCTTTCGCAACTCGTGCTCAAAAAGGATTACCGTTCGAGTTAAGGATTAACTGCCCGAGACACGCGATCCCCGGCCCCTCAAAGACTAAGAACACTACGAGGGTGTTCCTTTTTCGATTTCTTGTTTTTCTCCGCGCTTCACATGATCTAAGATCGACACTCGCATCTGGGACCACGTTCAAAAATATTGATATTCCTCTAGAGTTAGATTTATCGTTTCACGTTGTCCAGCGTGAACGTGAACTTCACGGGCCGTGACGGTGTCACTTGTCATGATAAAAGGTATCATCAAGACCAAGCGAACAAATTCTAACGCCATAATGGATACAGGTCTGAAACGCGTCTTCGAGGGACACCGAGTCCACGCTTCGAAAGAAGGAACCACCCCTGTGGCACGAGTACGCGGAATCACACACACACATTGACACTATTTGCGCACAGGGAGTGATCACACACAGACACGCACGAACACACACGCTCGCAAATATATCCAACTACACCCCAGCAAAAAAGAAGATGTTTTGGTTGATGCAAGGAGTTCGGAACGCTGCTATGCACCGATAACACACGTATATTGATTAAATGCAATTACTATGCGATAAGTATACTTACATAATATATATGTGTACTATGGTCTCTCCCACTTCCCAATCAGAATAACCCCGAACTGTCGCGCGTCGATCGAGCGGATGATCGGTCGCTCGCGAGCGCGCTCGCGATCCCCGTTCGACACGCAAAGATCCACGGAGATCAACGATTAAAACCGTGCGAGGATACCAGCTCGCGAGATCGTTCGTCGGTAACCGGATCGACGAGCGGCTTCATCCGCATTCTCCAAAGACCCCAGGATGCCCGACGTGCCCCTGAATCCCAGATCCTCCGAACCCATTTCCTCTGAAATACAAACGTAGAATTTAACCACATTAACTATGAATGACGAGAAGCTACGTAAGAGCTAACTAACTAACTACAATTAAACTTACTTAATTATTAACAATTAAACAAGCAGTAAAGCAGTATAAACAGTAAACGCCCAGTAATCATTGAATTGTGTGTCGACAACTACATACTAACTACCTACCGTATATCGAAGTAATAGCCGTATGTAAAACGAATGAAAAAAAAATAACTTGTATTCTACCAGTTGTATCAGCCAGTCCAGTTCTAATAAGCAAGTGATTAAAAGTAACTCAAACGCCCGGTTTTAACGAACCCTAGTCCCTAACTCCATCCGCCTCTGTTCCTCTTCTGTGACCCTTCTTTTTGCCACCCTTCAACGGATCAACCGATTTACTTGACTCCTTCCGTCGATAATCGTCCCGACCTAATTACCAATTTATCCGTCTCCTTCGACGTAAGTATCCGCAGATTGTACCCCGGTGTCCCCATCGACGTTCCTACCCGCCTCCTTTCGATCCCCCATAGTCCCAACCAGTGTCCGACACCCTTCCTTCCACAAACGGATCCTCCGACAAAGTAAAATACCGCACAGTATAACCCAGTCAGTGTTTAAAAAGAAACTGATCCGCCGGCTAACAGAATAAAAACATGATATTTACCATTAGTGTTTTTTCGTAGACAGACGTAATAAAGGATGAAAACAAAGCCTTCGTTTACGATTATACGCACACGTGTGGGGAGACCATGTAACTTTAGCTCCGCCGCTCATCGAGCCGGCCGCGAATCGCGATCGAACGATCGTTCGCGTTCCCTGTCGAGACACTGATCGTTTCCGTGGATCGAGACGAATCGATTTCCGCAGAACGATCGCACGATGTCGGGATGGAACGCTCGTCGATCGAAACGATTGCGTTCACGGCCGCGCATACGCCCCGAAACAACAAGCACAGCTGGTATTAGCAGCTAGCGCCCTTTTCGATTCCCCGTAACCAGTGTCCCTCGATATCCTATCTACCCCGTACCCAGAAAACCTAAATCGAAGATGAAAAAAAAATGAGAAGACACCAAATCGCCCAGACCCCTTTATCCACGCCTCCGCAACCCTCGATTCCCTACGTGTTGTATTATCCGTTATTTTCGATATAATATTATATATAGTATACTAATGATATTTAATGATAATACGACGACGATAAGGTATGGGAGACGTTTGGTCACACACAAATGTAGGACACTACTACACGGATTACGCCATCCTCACACGACCATTCTGATCGACACAGTGACGAAACTCGTACGATCAAACATACACACGCATATGTACACACGCACACGACACACACGCACACACAGAGACACACATATATAACGTACACGAAATGTACACGTATACACAGGACCATTTTTACCACGAGCCAACCGTACACACAGCTACACACGCATACGGCCACGCACTTCTACAGATACCAGCAGTAATAGAACAGACGTAACAAGAAACAAGATAACAAAAAAAGTAAAATCATAAGAAATGATAACAGAAACACTAGTTGCCGTGCAGTTTGTGAACAAAACAAATAACAAGAAAAAAAAATGCAGTAATGATAACCACCGACCTACCCGCGGGTCCGCTTCGTTCTTGCCCCGCGAGACTGAGCCGTGCATTCTCGCGATCCGGAAAGATCAACGCCGCCTGCGGTCGGATTTCCTGTTCTTCTTCTGGGTAACTTTGCTAACCAGCAATCGGACTGCAAGTGTTTCGCGATGTCTGTTCCTTGTGTAGACGTCAGAACCCGGTCGATCGTGCTCGACGAGAGGCCGCACGACCATAAACGGGAGAACGGCACGGCTCAGGGCCCGCGATCGGGGCAGAATCTGCCTCAAGCGTAGCTAAACGTTTTTTGTACAGGATTTAACGATGATGATGCATTAACTGGATGTAAAATCTTGAGTTACAGAGCAGCACTATACATACCACACAGATGATGTATATATTTTTACGTTACAGAATATGCCTGCGCTACAGTCAGGCGCCATAAGACTGGTTCTCATTTCCCACGAATACAATGCGTATATACATGCCACATAAACTTTAACGAGAAATGCAAAATGACCGAATATATTGTAATGTAAAACATAATGATATTTGTATACAATGTACCGCCAGGTACCGCAACACGGGGGTTACAAACAGACACGCCACGGTCAAAACGAAATGTGGGGCTGCCCGCTCGCAACGACGGATGATCGGTCGGGAAACGAGACTCGAGAGGTCGATCCGTGCGAACGACGACGCGATCACGGTTAGAAGCTAAAACGGAAACGAAAACGTTCGGATATTCGGAGAAAGAACGGGATAAAAAAAGATGTTACCTTTCGGCGAGTTGGGAGTAGCTTCGACGCGTGAAACGATGGTGCTAACAGAATAAGTCGCCGCATGGTATCGCGTTGCCTCTCGAGTCGACGAGAAAATGGGTAGAAATATGCCGTTGCGGCTGAAAATCGAAGGTGACGAACTGAATTGGCTAAACGAATTCGCGAATATACCCGTGCGTTTTAAACACCATGGAAATTACCATCCTGATTTTCACATTAGGCCGTTATACCCATCGAGCTCTACTAAAAAACTCGTGTTCAAAAGCAACCATAAAAACGAAAAACGAAATCGGTAACGAAAGCAAGCGTGATAGGGATGCGTTAACAACCAGATCCGTCGTTGGCCGCGATCAACGAGAACGATCGCGGAAAAGAACGAACGTTCTTTCGGAAAGTGTTGCTTGCGGGTACCCCGACAGAAGCATAACGCGGGTAGGAGTTTCTAAACATGAATTCCCGTCTCGAATTGCGTCGCGATTCGAGTCGCGGGAAGGTCCTAATTTTCCAAAACTAAAAAAAAACATTAATAATAACGAACACTAAATCCGCACTCGGCGTCCGTTGGTTGGCCACGGATTGATCGACGGGACACGTCGATTCCATCGAGAGAACGAACGAGAAAATGAAAAATTGAGAACAAGATAAGAACGGGGCCTAAAAGTACGCGAACGTGATCGATCGATCGATCCGTGTCGCCACATACGGACTCAGGAGACCCTCATGACACACGTTTGAGTTGCAGTGCAAGCGAACATCTGTAGAGCCATATACGTATAGTATGTTGTATCTTTAAAACGAAAAAAATTGAACAATTGACGACAATTTAAGCGCTGTAAGTGTACATTTTTATAATAACAAAATCGCGGTTGCATTTCGATGAAACGTTCAATGCGGCAGACAAAAACAAACAAACGAAGAAACGAGAAACTTAAATGAACGAACAGGCAAAAATTGCGAACACAAAAAAGAAAAAAAAATGGGGCGGCAGATTCGTAGCGAGGAATCACGATAATAAGTAACGATAAATTCGAAACAAACGAGAAAGAAAAACGGCGTGAGAGAACGAGAAAACGTCAATATGACATGTACGAGAGAGAAAGAGAGAGAGAGTGTGCGATGTACGCGTGTGTGCGCGCGAGTATGCGAACGTGTGCGAATAGAATGCGAAACAAGCGAAAAAGCGTAGACGAGCGTGTATGCGTAAAACGATAAACAAACGAAAGAGAAAAAAAAGAGGAAAGAAAAGACGAAACGACAAACAGAAAAGTTGCATCCTCGAATCGCGAAATCGAAGGTGACGAACTGAATTGGCTAAACGAATTCGCGAATATACCCGTGCGTTTTAAACACCATGGAAATTACCATCCTGATTTTCACATTAGGCCGTTATACCCATCGAGCTCTACTAAAAAACTCGTGTTCAAAAGCAACCATAAAAACGAAAAACGAAATCGGTAACGAAAGCAAGCGTGATAGGGATGCGTTAACAACCAGATCCGTCGTTGGCCGCGATCAACGAGAACGATCGCGGAAAAGAACGAACGTTCTTTCGGAAAGTGTTGCTTGCGGGTACCCCGACAGAAGCATAACGCGGGTAGGAGTTTCTAAACATGAATTCCCGTCTCGAATTGCGTCGCGATTCGAGTCGCGGGAAGGTCCTAATTTTCCAAAACTAAAAAAAAACATTAATAATAACGAACACTAAATCCGCACTCGGCGTCCGTTGGTTGGCCACGGATTGATCGACGGGACACGTCGATTCCATCGAGAGAACGAACGAGAAAATGAAAAATTGAGAACAAGATAAGAACGGGGCCTAAAAGTACGCGAACGTGATCGATCGATCGATCCGTGTCGCCACATACGGACTCAGGAGACCCTCATGACACACGTTTGAGTTGCAGTGCAAGCGAACATCTGTAGAGCCATATACGTATAGTATGTTGTATCTTTAAAACGAAAAAAATTGAACAATTGACGACAATTTAAGCGCTGTAAGTGTACATTTTTATAATAACAAAATCGCGGTTGCATTTCGATGAAACGTTCAATGCGGCAGACAAAAACAAACAAACGAAGAAACGAGAAACTTAAATGAACGAACAGGCAAAAATTGCGAACACAAAAAAGAAAAAAAAATGGGGCGGCAGATTCGTAGCGAGGAATCACGATAATAAGTAACGATAAATTCGAAACAAACGAGAAAGAAAAACGGCGTGAGAGAACGAGAAAACGTCAATATGACATGTACGAGAGAGAAAGAGAGAGAGAGTGTGCGATGTACGCGTGTGTGCGCGCGAGTATGCGAACGTGTGCGAATAGAATGCGAAACAAGCGAAAAAGCGTAGACGAGCGTGTATGCGTAAAACGATAAACAAACGAAAGAGAAAAAAAAGAGGAAAGAAAAGACGAAACGACAAACAGAAAAGTTGCATCCTCGAATCGCGATCGACGGCTTGGTCACCGGCGGCCCCGTCCGTAACGGGTGCAAGTAACTTTAGGTGTATAAAAAAGAAACGAGTGAAAGCAAGAAAAAAGAAGATACAAATTTTATCTAATCCTCTCGTGGTTTTTAGGATGTTCTAAAGAAATTATTGTAAAAAAGAGAGAGCAATGGGAGGACAGAGGAGACGAGAGACCTATTATAGACGACGGTGTCAAGTTTAGAGGCCGACTCGTTGCGTGAAACAAGATGGCCGATGTGAACTTGCGTGAAAAATGCGTGAATGAGATCTCGATCGATGAGCGTGAATGGAAAAAAAGGAGAAAGAGATTAAGAAAAAAAGATTTATCGTAATTTTTTGGAGGTGATTCGGTCGCCTGGTGACCGGGCCTCAGTCTCGATGCGAGCTCGAAATTTCATGGGCGCCGGATACGGCGTGCACGGGCAGAATATCGGCGTGGAAAAGGAGATTTTCCCCGAGATATTTTTCCCGGTACCGCGTTCGATGAGCGAAATTACTTTCCTTCTTCTTCCTGGCCCAAAAAATACTGAGATTCGCCCGACTAGGAAAAAAAAGAAACTCTATATAATACATGTACATATATATTTTCGGAGGATTTCGGCTAAACTCGGGGTGAACGGAAAGACGAAAAAACTATGAAAAATACTGTAAAAGAGACTGCCGATAAAACTATGCGAAAGAAATCGTTTTAGATCACACGATTCGGCGTCCTTGCCTATTTCGACCTGAGCACGCTTGTTTCGATTTAAACAAACAAAAAAATCGATTATGGGTTTTTTATATATTTTTGGCAACGATATCTCGATACTATTTAAGATTTAAGCTTAAACGAAAAAGAAAAGAGGGGAAAACGTGAACAAAATGGCGGAGAATAGGAGATTGATACGACGAAAAAACGACGGAGACGAAGGCGCATCGCTGTCGTGTTTTTGTAAAAAAATTTTGGAAACAAAAATGCAACGTGCTAAAGGGAGAGAGTGTATGTTTGCGTGTATACATGAATGAGTGAGTAAAAAAAACGTACGAACAGAAAGAGCGAAAATATTGTACGCGTGCGAGCGAAAATTAAACAAAAGCGAGCGAGATCGAGCGTGCGAATGGTAACGAGAGAAAAAAAGAGAAAAAACGGTGGTAAAATAATATTTAAATATTCGTATCAAAACAGAAAAAAATGAAAAAGATGTGTAGGGCCTCGAAAATACTGGCGACCGAAATGGGACAAGGGAGACAAGTAAAAAAGTTGCGAAAAAGAAAGGGAAAAAAGATGCTAACTTAAACGAAGGCGTGAAAATAATAGAGGCCGAAAACTACTAAAAATATTTATAATATATGGCTACAAGTACAAATTACTTCGACTACTGAGCGTAGGTGTATTGATGTGTGAACAAAATTTGGTTGGCCGATGACCGTTTTTGAAAACCATCATAACTGCGTATCAAAGTATGTAAAATTTATTGAATAAACGCTAGCGTATTATGATATAATGTAATCTAATAATGTAATATTGTAATGACGAGTCTAAATGATGAGATGTTAACTTGAAGTTTTAGGAGCGCGCGCGTGAGAGGTTGTGCACGTGGATGATTTAAAAGAAACAAAAGTAAAAAAAATGAAAAAAGATGAAACAAAGAGTAAGAGAGGACAAAAAAAGAGAATGACAAATTGCATCTTTATAATGATTATCAGTACTATTAGTATTATTATTGCGATTAACGATTGTCAGTCACCCGTCGCTGGTCATTATTGCTAAAAATGAAAATGAAAAAAAAAAGTGAAAGAAAGACGAAAAAGAGAGAATAATACCGTTCGTTTGAAACGGTGTATTTGTCCTCCTAACCTCCCTTTAGTGATGTTCGTTTCTTATCATTGATCTATCCATAAAGAACAAGCTGGCATGACGATTGTAACCGTTTATTATGATTATCATTAACTTTATGATTACCGATTATGATTATTATTACTACGGCGATTAATGGTATTCTGATTGTCATTATTATCGTTATCGTATGTACATTGTAAACGGCAGCGAAAATCGAATCATTTGCACACAATTTTGAGACACGTATATATGTATATATACATATATATAGATAGAGACGTTCTTCTGAGAAATACCACAAAAAAACGATGAAGAGAAAGGGAAACGTGGAGAAACGACTCGAGCGCTTTCAGAATGAACAACTGTGCGTGATTGCGGAACGCGTGTTTGTATGGATGCGCGAACGAGAGTGTAATCGAACGATAACGAGCGACTGATAACAGGAAAGTAGAAAGGGCATGAAAGAGAACGAACGTGAAACTGAGAGAGAGAGAGAAAGAGAGAGAATGACGCGATTTTGAGGCGCGATGGCGCGAAAACCGTGACGAAAGAACACGCGAAAGAGTTGGCGAGCATGGGCGAGGAGTATGCGCGCGAATGCGGGAGAAATATACAATTATAGTAGAGGGGAGGAAAATAACAAGAGCTAAAAAAAAAGAAATTATTTGCACGGGGATACTGAAACGAGCTGCGATCGGCGTGACGGTGAACGTGGAAAGGGAACACGTTTCTTGCTGGGTCGTGTACAAGGGATGACGATGTGAACGAGACGAAAAATTCCGCAAAACGGCGTGACGAACACGTTTTTTCGGCGACAGTTAGACTACACACACACAGGCATATAGTGTCACGCCGTCTCACTGGTAACTCACTTTCGGAATCGTTCGGACAAAACGAGTTAACAAAAGAAATGAAAAAAAAAGAAAATGAAAAGGAAAAAAACGAAAGCGACGAAAAAATTCCTAATAGAACTCGCCCGCGCCCAGCAGCGACGCACTTTCGGCGCCTCGCGAAATTCTATTTTTGTAAGCATATTTCTATAAAGGTATACTAACGATACGGCAAAATTTATTATTCCTAGTGTGGTGAAAATGAAAAATTGAACGTTTAGATTTCGTTAGTATAGTGTAAAAAACTGAGAGAGAGAGAGAAAGAGAGAGAATGACGCGATTTTGAGGCGCGATGGCGCGAAAACCGTGACGAAAGAACACGCGAAAGAGTTGGCGAGCATGGGCGAGGAGTATGCGCGCGAATGCGGGAGAAATATACAATTATAGTAGAGGGGAGGAAAATAACAAGAGCTAAAAAAAAAGAAATTATTTGCACGGGGATACTGAAACGAGCTGCGATCGGCGTGACGGTGAACGTGGAAAGGGAACACGTTTCTTGCTGGGTCGTGTACAAGGGATGACGATGTGAACGAGACGAAAAATTCCGCAAAACGGCGTGACGAACACGTTTTTTCGGCGACAGTTAGACTACACACACACAGGCATATAGTGTCACGCCGTCTCACTGGTAACTCACTTTCGGAATCGTTCGGACAAAACGAGTTAACAAAAGAAATGAAAAAAAAAGAAAATGAAAAGGAAAAAAACGAAAGCGACGAAAAAATTCCTAATAGAACTCGCCCGCGCCCAGCAGCGACGCACTTTCGGCGCCTCGCGAAATTCTATTTTTGTAAGCATATTTCTATAAAGGTATACTAACGATACGGCAAAATTTATTATTCCTAGTGTGGTGAAAATGAAAAATTGAACGTTTAGATTTCGTTAGTATAGTGTAAAGATGATGATGATGATGATGATGATGATGATGATGATGATGATGATGATGATGATGATGATGATGATGATGATGATGATGATGATGATGATGATGATGATGATGATGATGATGATGATGATGATGATGATGATGATGATGATGATGATGATGATGATGATGATGATGATGATGATGATGATGATGATGATGATGATGATGATGATGATGATGATGATGATGATGATGATGATGATGATGATGATGATGATGATGATGATGATGATGATGATGATGATGATGATGATGATGATGATGATGATGATGATGATGATGATGATGATGATGATGATGATGATGATGATGATGATGATGATGATGATGATGATGATGATGATGATGATGATGATGATGATGATGATGATGATAATGATGATGATGATGATGATGATGAAAAAAAATTAACGATGTCTAGGTCCTATTCGTGTATTTAAAGGCGAACTATAAGAAAATAAAAAAAATTATATCGTCGGCGGCGTGGTAGGTTGTAAAATTGTACATAAATTATTGCAAGAGGAGGCGCGGACGGTTGCATCGCTGGCTAGCGGCACGCGGCTAGTTTTCCTCATATATATGTATGTATGTATCTATGTATGTATGTATATCTTTGGCGCTGTATAGAGAAAAAAAAAAACGAAAAATAATAAAGGTATTTAGGTTCGGGGGAGGGGGGTACAAGAGATTTTAAAGGACTTTTTTGGCACCGAGGTCAAAATTCGCGGTTTCCTTTGACGCGCCGTCTCGCACGTGATCGCTGATCAAAAAAAAAACCTCGTACGTTCCTACGACGTGTCACGATACCAAAGAATGAGAGAAAGGGGGACGAAAGGAATCGAGAGAAAGAGAAAGAAAGGGTGATAGAGTGAGAGAGAATCAAAGAGTGTGTACTTAAAAGGCTGTCTCGTCGCGAAACGAAGGTGAATGAAGAAGATAGTTTTGACTCGAGAAACAAAACGAACAATCTTGGGGTAAAACGAGGAACACCAAAGAAAAAAAAAACAGAGAAAGAAAAGCACAAGAACGAGAAACGATCGCCCTCCCTTCTCATAGGCCGAGAGTGAATTCGACGATGATGCACTGCCGCTTTTTGAAGTAAAAAAAAAGATACAAAATAATATATATAAATATATAAATATATTATATATATATATTATATATATATATAGATAGATAGATAGATAGAGGCACGAAAAATGGCAGAAAATCGGAAATTCCGCGCGCGGCTAGTTTGAATCGCGGAGGGCGCCCGTGCGAGATCTCTCTTTCGTTTACTCTCGAAATTATGTTCGCCGAACAAATGCGAGACCACCTTCTCTTATTGTCCGTTTTTCATTTTCCGAACGACGAGCGCCACCTATTTCTCTAGACGTTTACAAACGCGATCACACCGAAAGAATATATACAATATAAAAATATAAATATAACGCGTACACGATATGTCTTTTCTTTTACCGTTTTCCGCTCACGGCACCACGTCAAGATACTTCCGGAGGCGATTCACGACAAGAGAGTCGATGGAGGAGCGAATGAGAGGGCGTGAATGCGAGACAGAGAGTGCGAGAAAGGGTGAGAATGACGATGAAAGATGAGAGAAGAAGAAATTGGGAAGAGAGGGATGATTCACGCGAAAAGGGAAAGAATGTCGATGTCGCGTCTTCTCGAGTTCCTCGACGAATATCGCGGTCTGTCGCGTTCCGAACATCCGTCGATAGCGACCGAATTTTTTCTTAAGGCGATATAGCGAGAGTTTAACACCGGCGAGAGAGAAGTGCGTGCGAGACTGAAAGTTAGGGGAAAAATTGTGTATGAAAGAACGCGAGAACGAGCAATTAGGAGCGTGAGAGAAAGAGAGATGCCAAAAGGAGGGAGAGAAAGTTTGTAAGGAAGAACAGAGCGAACGAGCGAAAGAAAGAAAACGAGAGAGGAGACACAAGAGTATCGTAGTACACAAAAAGACACAACGCATTTTGCGTACACTTGGAAGTACATACACATGCAGCCTCACACATAACAATACACACAACATGGATACACGTACCCGGACACTAACACACCACAGAGTACATCCACATGACATATATGACATACAGGGACACGCAATATTATATATATACGACTCCATAGATGATGACGCGGCACACTCACATAGTGTCTCTCGGATTGTTCCACAAAACTTTTCATTCGAGTTTGCTTCAAGAAACCTTCTGTTTTCTAATGTATGACGTGTTGTTGTCGATATATAAAATAAACTTAATAAAAAAATATATCTTGCGGTATGAATCTATTATCCTTTTATCCTGTCCTGAAATATCTTCGTTAAATGTAATTATTAATTTATTTGTTTTAAAAGTAATTATCTGATTTTTATAATATATTCTCTTATTTCTATGGTAATATAAAAATACTAGCTCTGTAAAATTCTAGCAAAGTTTTTAACCAAATATTTCCATTACGATTTTTAGATATTAACAATTATATATCATAATTCGCTTTGCTATTCTATTTATTTACTTTTGTGATTTATTTTTAATTTAAAAATGAATAAAATTCAACGTCGAGCGCTGGGGAATTAACTGAACAGCACAGGTAAGAAAAATTTATTTATTAATTAATATTTAATGAAAATAAGAACTGAAAGTATATGTTATCTGTACTACAATCTCAGTTTCTTATGAATTAGTATTATAAATAAAATCAAACTAAATTCAAGCGTGAAAGAGTTATGAAAACATAATTAATAATAAATTGAATAAACAATATTTGTGGTAAAACGTAATTACACAACAACCTTAAATTTCACGTAAAATCATATATAAAATTTTACAAAAAAATTTCTGGTTTAAAATACTGATAGTATATAAATAAAAAGAGTGCCAAAAATGTACTGATATTTAAGGAAAGTTACTGAAATGTAAACAAGTGGAAATAGCATTAACATCAAGGGTAGTTTGCCAAATTTTCGAAATCAACAATTTTGACCAACGTGTTTCAAATCCCTGTTTCTACAATATTAAAGTGAATTATTAGTAAAAAATGATCAAACGGAAGGTAATGACTAGTTTTTTTATTGCAATGGTCTAATGAAGAGACGATCGAAAAAAAACAAAAACTTTTATACATGTAATATGTTGCTTCGAGTAATTAAACGTATTTAAGTTAAATTATATAAAACTGAATTAGTTAATCTAAAAATTAATAATTTTATTAATAAAATTACTTAATATAAAAATTACAATTGTTTAATATCGGAAATTTTCAAAATCACAAATTTCAAATTTGTAAATTCAAATATTTATAAATTATAAATCTTTAAAATTACAAATTCATAAATTTAGATATTTTCAAATTTATTCAGATATGAAATTCTAAAATTTAGAAATTAATAACTTGAAAATGTACAGATTTTAGAAAATTACCAAATTATAAATACTCAAATTCTGAAATCCAAAAATTTACAAATTTACAAATTAAAATTTTTCACATTTTCAAATTTAAGAACTTTCAAAATCATAAATATTCAACCTCAAAAATTTTCAAAATCGCAAATTCCAAAATTTTTAAGATCACAAATTCAAAATTTTGAAAATTTTCAGTCACATTTTGAAAGTCAGAAATTTTCAAAATTACAAATTCGAAAATTAAAAAATCTTTATGGTCAGTAAGCTGTTTCGAAGTCTTTCAAAATGATAAACTTTCAAATATATTATAAACTTACAAATTAACAAACATTGAATCGTACAGAAAAGATTTTGTATATTGTCAACTGTATCGCATCAATATAACGTTGTATAACGATACCCATAACGGATCTAAACCAGTGTTCAATGGCGTCAAAAATAATGTCCGTTTTATTCAAACACTTAAACAGCTTTCATCACATTAACATACACATTATGCAAGCTTAACTCATTTTACTTTCATCGTGTAAAATGGAATTAAGTTCCAAGGAAGCTGAATAAAATTCGATTTTCCGTTACAAACAGTGAACAAATTTTCTTATGTCAGTGGTCGTAACAAAAGGGAACCGTTCAACGAATCAGCGCATAAAAACATCACACAACACAGAGTGGTTTCAATTAAACATTTCTTCTTTCGCTCGAAAAATATCTGCACTCGCG